TGGAAGAAGGATAGGAAGAGGGAAGAGGGAGGGAAAGGAAGAGAGAGGATAGGGAAGGAGAGGAAGAGGTGATCGAGTGGATTTAACATAATTACATACAAAATAGTGATAGGAAATAGTCAAATACACTTTCTTTGCATGTATTAAGGTTAAATCTTAATTTAATGGTTTGGTAAATAATTGACATATTCTATATATTTTACATATTCATTCAAACCCCATGTTATTATGTATAATTTCTGTTCTCTCCTATAAACATTAAAAGGTCTTAAAAATGATAAATCTGTGATATTTTACACTTTACACCTGTCAAGTCTAGTATGTTATGTTACATTTATGATCAAATAAATTACAACATTTTCAAGAAGCCTGAACAAATTGTTTATTCTTATTGTATAGAACATTACTTAAAATTACTTTAATGTCCTTTAGCCTAACCTATGTTACCCTCTTGCTAAATTAATGATTCACTTACCTACTATTCCAACATTATTTGACATTTAGTAATTTATATGACTTTATATAAATTAAATATAATTTATATTTACAGAATTCATATATAATTTATATTACAGATTCATATATAATTTATATTCATATAATTATATATAATCTATATTATATAATTATATATATACATATTTATATTATATAATTATATTTATATAACCTACAATTACCTAGATATATTTACGATCTTAATCCAATTGTTAAAAATTTAAACGATTTATTATCCATATACCTTTCAGTTTACCATTAAAGGCGGATGAATATGACATCACGAGCATAACGTCTGTCTTTGTTGTGTTAAATGGACTTCAAATCAACGTTTAGTTTCGGCCAACGACGATGCTCTTCGTTGCAGCGCCATCTTTTTTTTTAGATTGTGGGTGTTCCTTCGTTTCCCGTTTGAAAGTCCAGCCCGTCTACGTCCGTGTGTGTGTGTGTGTGTGTGTGTGTGTGTGTGTGTGTGTGTGTGTGTGTGTGTGTGTGTGTGTGTGTGTGTGTGTGTGTGTGTGTGTGTGTGTGTGTGTGCATATGTGCCTATAGATATATAGATAGAAAGATAGAAGACAGACAGATGACTGGAGAGAGAAAACACACAGAAAGATGGACATATAATATGTATGCAAGATTGGCAAATTAGGTACATTTGTTGCACTTGCGTGGGCGGGTGCGTGCGTGCAAGTACAAGTGCGTGTACGTGTGTATGTATGTGCGTGCGTGTGTGTTTCTCCATATCTGTTTTAATAACTAAACATATCATGTTCATATAATCGCATCCTCGGGTATTTCGTTCCAAAGATTAACATTTCATATCTGTAACTTATTATCTTTGGTTACCACGTGGGTACAAACTTTTCCTTGTATTCCGCCCCGGTTACTCCCAACGGCGCTCTTCAGTTTTTTTTATTCCCTCTTACACTTTTTGTGCGTCTCGCTGTTTCCTTTTATCTGTCAATCTCCGTCTCCGTCTACTTGTCTGGCTTTGTCTACGTCTGTCTGCCTGTCTGTGTCTGTGTATGCATCTGACTGTACCCTCGTTCCTCCAACACATCACCCTAATAAAAATGTCCTTACGTGATATCTAAAAATAAGCACCGGATGTTAGCCCACACTCAAGCCCACTCACGTATACCCTTCTGTCACAACTCGGGCATCACTCCCCCCCCCCCTTTCTTCCACTAACAAAAAAGACTAGCGGGAAAAAAGGTTATAGCGCCATCTTATCCCTGTGAAAATTCACCCTGTAAACGGATACGAGCAGCAACGCCCACAAGATCCTAGTCGGTGTGAAGATGCATGACGATCACACCCACTTACCTTGCACGACCAGGGACTCTAAGTCTTGTGAGATCTTGGGGCAGGTTTTTGGGTTATCCCGAGCCTCCGGGGACGAGCCAGAGAGTTGGAGAGGTAGATAATCCCCCCCTCTTTCCCTCTACCACGTCTATCAATCAGGGGAATGAAGAGGGGGTTGATGAAAGGGTAAAACACACGCTGTGGTTGAAGGTTTGAGGCGTGTTTAGCCTTCCCGCTCGCTCCTGCTGTCGGTGTTGCCGTTTGGTGTTCACGGGTATCACTGACCGTACCTCAATATCTTTGCTTGTCAGAGACTAGCGACATCTTTGACTGATAAATGTCTATCTCGCACCGGTATAGAGTGTATTAGAACTTTCCTTATGGTTATCAACAGGCGCAATTATGTGATGATTTTTCACAACTACGGGCTTGAACCTTTGTTCTCCCTGAGCAAACATCCCCAAGTTATTCAGGAAATGACATTTCTTCACACAAACATATGCAAGGAAAACGTTACACATTCGTCTACCCTCCTGTATATTTTTCCCCATAGATTTGTCGTATTTAACTGACAAAAAACATTTCAACAAAGCATTTTGGCTTGGGGTTTGTTTTCTCCAAAGTCGTTGACCCTTGCACTCATCTTGCCTTGAGCCTGTTACGTAATAGGCGATAACTCGTCTTAGAAATAACTTTGTATACCTATATTTAGCAAAGGCGATAAACATATGATTAGAGTTACCTTAGTAACTTCGTGACGTACAGAAAACATATTTTCTCTAAACACACGCTTAGAAAACGAATGTGTAAATGTTCTTTCATAGTTTAAGATAGGGACATTTATGAGAAGGACATTTTTTTGTCTTTTAAATATTTAAGAGGGGATTGTCAGATGCAGTGTCGAATACTTGTTACAAAATACTTTTCATTCATAATGAATAGGAGCTTCCATAAACACCGTTTAAATGGGTGCTTTCTTGCCGAGTAATGCACACTCCCAGTTTTTATGTAAATGTGATGAATTAACGAATCACTGTTAGTCATAGAAATTACAGACTAATCGCATTATCAAGAAAACTGCTGAAGTAAGTTGACTTTCACTGAGAAAGAGTTTAAGTACTACTGATCTAGGCATTAGTTTGTTATCATAGCTATTATTGATAGTCGCTTTCATGTTTCTCCTGCTTGAAGCATTGACCAGTTCAGTGCTTACGCAAGTCTTAGTTGTAATTAACATCTTAATTCTGTTATTCTAATTTGCCGTGGGAATATATCAGCAGCGATCTATATTATGCCTCATTCACAATGAATAATATATTAACGTTTTTTTTTTTTACAGCATATATCTTTTGCCCTGACATACAGTAGATCTCCCTGCTACATCGCGTGTTTAGAACGCATAAATAAAGCTGTGCAATTTTCTTTAATATGATCATTGTTAGATGTGAATTGTTCCCTCATTTCAAGAGTATATATGTATGATATTTGTCAGTCTGGTTGCAAATATGTTTAAACAATGAAAGAGAATGCACATCATTTGTAAATATGCAGAACTTAGTACTGATTATTTTATTTTAGAAATCTATATTTTTGGGTACCGAGATTTGGTTAAAATGATTTAGTGTACCCACGTCCTGTACACCCTGACAGATGTTTGGTAAATACATCGATGGTATCATAGATGCTCCTTCACTTCAGTTGAATACATTTCCTCTGACATTTCCATGAACTTATCCTATTTCTAATATGCTATGTGGGCAAGACACCATTTCCCATTTCCTTGTGTGGTGCAGAACATCCCCTATCCCACACTCTTATAAGAGGAGTGCTGACCTTCAGCGATTTCAGACGTTTCTAGGCTATGTGGGATGGGTATGTGGACACATACTTTACTAAGACCAATATCTTTACCTTGTTGATTAACTTGTCATATCAGTGGAGAAGCCAGATTTTAACCAAGGGCATGGTATGCCTCTTAACCCCTCTATTGGCCCTGATTGGTTGCATCACATAGGCAGAAAAATATTGAATCATGCAAACTAACCCCTTTAACAATTTTAAAAATGAATAATTACAGTGAAATGGTACTTATCTAAAGCACAGCGGTTTCAGCAGTTCCTTTGACCAATGATTTATCAGGTGCTGGCTGTGTACCATTTGCTCATCCTAGGAAATTTTATCATGTATGGCTAGTTAATGGGAAAGACATATTTTCTAAGCAAATGGTATTAGTCTACTGTGGGATGCCTTTCTTGCAAATCGGTTTTAGCTACTCTTCTTTTTTTAGCATGATAATTTCTTGCCACAGCATATACAATGAAATCATGTAGAGCTGTTGATTGCTATATTGTGCAATATAATGTCACTATAATTCTGAAAAGAATTCTTGACAAAACTGAAAAAGCATATTACCTTCAGTTCATTAGTGTCACACTAACTTTTTCTATTATGTGATGATCATAACATTAATAGGATTAGCCTTACCATATTTGTTTAAAGGGTAACACATAATTACTAATGTAACTGTCTGTGCTCATGCTGCTGGTCTTATTTTGATACTTTAGGAAATAATGACCTTACTTACCTTTTTGATAGTTCTAAACTCAGATGAATAACAGAAGCCTACCAGAAATAGTAAGAACTTTTAAATGATGAGAACTTTACCAATGCAGCCTCAGACTTGCCTTGAAGTCCACTACAAGAATAGATTTATTTTAAATGAAAATCTTCAAGCCTTATCATACATTTTATCTAGTATGTATATCTAAAAAATAATAATAACAATAATAATAGTGGAAAAAAATAATGATAATAACTACAAAAAAAAAAAATAACAATGATGATAATAACAATTAAAATTATAGTAATAAAAATATCAACATTAGTAATAAAATTAATAATCATAATGATATTATTAATAATAAAAACAACCATGAAAATAATAATAACAATAATAATAATGTGTGATCCAAAGTGAGTCTTACTTGATAAAAGCACAAGTAAACTACACAAGATTGAGACTAATACAAAACAACAACAATAAATGATGTGCAATTCATATAAAGACGGCAACTGAACATACATAATTCCTTATAAAATCACAAATAAGTAACAAAATTACATGTTTCAGATAAGAATGTCTGCAATGATAATGCAATCACTTTGAATTATTTCTGGGTAATATAAACTATTCATATTTAAAAAAAACTTTATTTGTGTCCATGTATCCAAAGAAACAAACAATGCACATATAATCTATTAATTTAATGACGACTTACAGTAATACAGTATTATGCCGAAGTTTTACTGAACAAAATTAACATCTCTTTAGAGAAGACTGGTGTACAATGTAGCAATAGAGTATCTCTTTCTTCCCTTTTGTACTCTCAACTACACCTACTCAAGTTTATAAAATAAAAATAAAAATCACATTTATCAAAACCAAAAAAGTAGGACCAGAAATCAGCTCCGTTCTCCGGACAGACCCCAAAGCTTCACCGTTCCTGCATCTCGGTCTCGCTCACGGTCATCCTTGTCATCACAGGCATATGCCAACAGAAAGAGTCGTGGATGCTGAAAAGAAAAACAAAGAACACTATTACATATCCTAGGTATCAGAGGAGGATGGGGAGAGCGGGGGAAAGCGACAGAGAAGGGGGAAGGAGGGGAGGGGAGAAGAAGAGGACGAAGAGAGGGAAGATTAAGACGAAGAGAAGGGAGAGGAGGAGCAGCAGGAAAGGGGAGAGGTGGGGAGAGGACATGGAGGAGAGAGAGCGAAGAGGAGAAGGGGGAGGGAGCATGTGATCAGGTAAAATGAGAAGAGGAAGAGGAGAAAGAGTAATAGAATAAAGAGTGGAAGGGAGCATATGAATAGGAGAGAATGAAGAAGAAAAAGGATAAGAATCTGTAGGTGAAGGAAGGGGAGGATACAGATTGGGAAGTTGGGAGGAGGAGGAGGAGGAGGAGGAGGAGAGGAGGAGGAGGAGAGAGAGGAGGAGAGGAGGGAGGAGGAGGAGGAGGAGGAGGAGGAGGAGGAGGAGGGAGGAGGAGAGGAGGAGGAGGAGGGGGAGGAGGAGGAGGAGGTGAAGAAGAAGAAGAAGAAGAAGAAAAAGGAGGAGGAGGAGAAGGAAGTAGGAGTAGAAGAAGGCAGAGGAGGAATAGAAGGAAGTAGAAGGAGGAGTAGGAGGAGTTATGGAAGAGGAAGAGGAAGAGGAGGACAAGTAGGACAAGAAGGAGGAGAAAGAGGAAGAGGAAGACGAGGAAAAGTAGGACAAGAAGGAGGAGAAAGAGAAAGAGGTGGAGGAGGAGGAGGAAGAGGTAATGGGTGAGGAGGGAAAGAAAGTACAATGTAGGACAAGAGAGGCAGGAGGAAGAGGAGGAGGGGAAGGTAACATAAAAACACGAAAAATGCATAAGAAAAGGAATTGTAAGAAAGAAAGAAGAAGAAGAAGAAGAAAAGAAAAACATTGCATAAATACAAATAAATATAAGATGACAATTATAACTACTAACACTTATTTACAACATATGAGTGTCTTGTTCCTATCTCCTGACTAAGCAAACCATCTAAAGACCAGATAGTTTACATGTTTCTTATTGTTAGTAAAGCACAGGTGGCTGAACACTTTTCCATACCTTCCTGGTTCTACAATATTTTTGGTGGCTGTTTACTAATTTTAATCATTTATAAATTATTTTCTTCAAACTAACCCTGCATATAAAAATTTTCCTGTAATTTAAATGCTTATTAAATTGTTGTTTTCCTCGAAAAATAAATGGTCTATATAATTCAACTCAATTTACTCTGGTGATTTGGGTCAGCAAACCATAGCTTTAAGAAGCACTTCTCATACTCCTTTGTCAATAAAATATAAATAAAGTCAGCTGTCATATTTGAAATTTTCCTAAGCTCCTTACCCAAGCTAAAGTAAAGGTTGGATAAGCCACACTAATATGTGCAACTCTCTCCCCTGTGTCAACGTGTGCTATGTCTATGGTCTGGTCCTCGCTTCCTGATGCTAAAAGCTGGCCATCGTAGGAAAAGCTCAAAGTACGAACAGGCCACTCCAATCTGAAAGAAAAGTAATGAGTCATCAGTATAATGGTGATGTTGAATATAATTGCTATATTTATTGCAATGAATAAGAAAATTCATTTGAATTTTCTTATTTTCTTTAGTCAATACTGTTGTTATGAACCCCTACAATCCAGGTGACATGACTGTCCCGTCATGGAAAAAACTGGGTCGAGGGCTGGGTGATGTGAACATCCTGTTATTGGAGAAAATAGCCACTGGCCGGGTGACACAAACCTGCCATCATGAGCAAAGGCCAGGGTGACGGAAAAGACTCAACACGAGTACAAAAACCTCTTGGAGTGTGATTAGACTCATTTGCCGCTTAGAAGGGGGCTTTTGCATTACTCCCATTGATAAACGAATGTGGAACATAAGGTGTGTAAGCCATGACTGGAAGAGCACCAGCTCTAAAGAGGATTCCATATCCATGCTCAGCATTGTATTCCTGTGACTGTGGCTGGCGGCGAAGGTTGTATTATGAGGAAGAAAGAAAGAAAAAAGAAAGAAAAAAGAGAGAGAAGAAAAAAAAATATATGATACAAATAACCAAATGTTACATTTTTTCCCCCCCCATGAGTTATTTACTACATAGATATATAATATGGAGTCAAGTCTGTGCATGGAAAATAAATAATTACCATCTGCATAAAGCAAACCAAAAGACAATTATGGACAAATATGGTAAAAAAGTTTTAAAAGTTTGCACGAAACAACTTTGCAACGGAGAGGCACAGTCTTGTCACCACTCATAAGTGTTTGCACACGCCTGGCCTACGCGCTGCACACCCAGGATATGTAACCCACTGCCTGTATTATCGGCAGTGATTTATGTGACGCAACAGGATCCAACGGGTTAACAGTGAAAGCAATAATAAAACTTTTTTCATGAAAATTCTAGTAGTGAATTAAATATGTAACATTGGCTAGGCACAGTAACTGACTCCCTGCATAAACAAAACTGATAACTAAAGAACACCAGTAGGTAATGAATAGTCTTTAGATGCTGTAAGGGCATTACACATAAAACACTGAGGACCATTTTGCACAAGATTATTAACAACTTAGCCTATATAAAAAGAAGGGAACCCTGATCCCTAATAATGCATGTCTTGAATTTCACATTCAATGAATCCAAGTTTATTCTACTATTAAGGAGTCATTTTATAAAAGAAACTGCTGTACCTTAGAGCAAGTAAAAAAAATGTTCACTACAAATGTTGTAGTTAACTTATAAGAACAAGAAAAAAATACCAATAGCATTTATCTTGGAGTACCAAAGGAGGACTTTCTCACATTAAAAGCAATATTTAGTGCATCTTGTTGATGCTGCTGTTTTCAGAAACCAACAGCAATCGACAACTGTATATTCATTATTATAATTTTTCTCCACAAACAATTAGTTAATACTTTACCTGCATTTATTAACTCATAAGAGTCATCAACACCTGTAACTTAATATGCTTTTAAACACCACAGATTTCTGTTTTTACTTTTTTTCTATAAATATTCTGCTTCATGAAAACTAAAAAGACATGATGGTAAACCATGATTTATTTATCATGGACTTTATTATGTTGTTTCTCATCCAAAATCATGACATTTCAGATTTTTAAAAACATTACTAAACTTTATACCAAATTTCCTTGCAAATACACTCATTAGGAATGATATGCATATATTCCTATTACCTTTAGTAAAAAAAAAAACTTTAAAAATTCTGCTTCTGATACTGCTCTTACTTAAAATAGCTGTTTCTGTTCTTTGTTAAGACAAAATACTGTAAATAAAGTGTAACAAGAACTCCTTTATCTTTTTCAATTAAGACAAACCCACAATAGTGTTGCATCCAAACTGGCAGTCAGCAGGTGTTGGCAAGCATGACTGTCTTGTTGCGATTTCTTCACTAAATAAACTTCTATGAGTAAAGTGAGTAAAATTTATTTTAACTACTTATTTCATGCATTGTCCCTGAGCAAATAATTGAGCCAAGAAGTCTAAGAGAAAAATGCCAACTGTCAAGTCTTCTTATGCTAGCCTGTATTCACTCACTGCCACATCTATAGGCTGCAATGCTATACAACTTTTCTTTGCTCCCATTTGCAACTCACTGCCTGTGAGGATACAGCATAATGCACTGCTCACTCACAATCGGAATATCTACTTTCATTCTTCAGCAGTCCCTGACCCACCAGAAGTATATCTTTACCAGCAGCTCCTTCCTACCTAGGTAATGTCCTCTTGCAGTAGAGTTCCTGGGCGTCCCATATAGAAACAAGAGCATCGGCGGATCCCGTGGCAAAGTATCTACCTTGGGGTTCAAACTTAATACAGATGCAGTTGCCGGGATGGGCATGGATAGAATGCACCAACTCCATCTCTGGGTAGCTGTAAGGAATAATGAAAATAATGTGCTTATTATGATTGAAATATCTTTATGATTATCCAAAAATATTAACCCATTAATGCTGGGTAAAAAAATTGGCTAGTGGTCATTAATGTGAGATTGTTGGTGTGCGTCAACAGTTTCCCCAATCTGAGCCTGGCTTATTTGATAATTTGTGGACAACATTTGGCACCTAAAAGCTTATATTTCAATATATATATAAATAAATAAATAAATAAGAAAAAAATAAATAAAATAAATAAACACATTTATCGATCTATGGATCTATCTATATATGTGTGTGTATGTATATGTATATATGTGTATATATGTATATGTATATATATATATATATATATATATATATATATATATATATATATATATATATATATATATATATATAATATATATAATTATATATATATGTAAAGTTTTATCTTTTAGGTGCTATTTTCTAAAAGTTTCACCACTGAAATTATGACATTACTATCAAAGAAAAACAAGCTCCATCTGATGATCCAGCAGCCTGGGAATGGTCATGATGTGATACTATCCACTAAATGGTCCACAGCAGCCATGGCTTGTATGTACATGACTACTACGGGTAAACCACTGACGACACCACGGTGCCTTGTATTGCTCGTGCTCCGAGCGGCCGTGGCTGGGCGGCCGGCAGAGTCCGGGGCAGCCCTGCCCGCCAATTTTGTGGTCGCCCGGAATCTTTTATTTTCGGCATCAAAATATACCAGCATTAATGGGTTTAAATGTAATTTATGATAGCATTTTACTACTGTCATACTTCTTTAAAATCCTAATAAACCAGTAATCTAAATGTTATATCATAGTAAATTCTTCCAACTGCAAACTCTATTTATCCCCTATATATAATAATATCATAAATATAAATACTCCTTAATGGAATCAGAAAATAAACTGGGTACATTTGCTGCTATTACACAGTCAATTTCATATTGCCTGCATGAAATAAAAATTAGAAGTCCCTTGTATTTGATTATGGACAAACTGACTATTTTATATAAAAAACAGGGGTTTAAGACAACTTTGGAAGACTACGACTCGAAAACTTGTGATATTTGAACAATTAACTGCATCCATCATGATGGCTTGTGAGGATACTATTTTGGGCTATCCATGCCATGGGTTAAACAATAAACAATTGTAACACTTTAATTACTTTACGATTTCAGAAAAATAAACAAATCAGAAAAAGGTGTTGCACTACAATATCAAGTTTTGAGCAAAAAATATCTTGTTTACTAGCATACTTTGTTAATCCACTGGCAACAGGTGATGACCCACCATGTTATGACAAATATTATCATACACAGAGTAATGCCTCACCATATTAGGAATTCATGTTCTTATTGGTAAACCATAAGCTGGACAATCACCTAGGTAATGAACAGCATTCACTAAAGCATGCATGTCATCACCGGACTTTACCTGTTATTACTGGGCTCAACATGCGTTTACATCAAACAAATATATCTCTAAGATGACTTATTAACTATCTGGCATCCTAAAACCACCTATATGAATGATTATATTCATAGATCAATATCAATGACAGACATAATCTGGTTGGGTGTCAGTAATCTGTCAGTGAAAAGAAGAGAGTATCAGGAAGACCAGATATGCAATCAGGGTCACTGTTAAGGCTTTTTTTTTTTGTCTCCCTATCCCTTAAAGCAAATCATTTTGTCTCCTAATGGATATCCTTCATGAGTCTACACTTCTCCATTCTCTCTCTTCTTTATTCTCAATTTATAGTTCCAATGATCTGAACCCGCTATAAGCCCACAGATTTCTTAGTTGACATGAGGAATCATCAAAAACATAATAACTAATCCTTACAAGATACTTTCCCATAGAGTTAACTTATAAAATGGTTATAGTTAAACAAAGAACTGAGTTCCTTGTTTAACTATAATGGAATATTTACTTTGTCATATGTGATTATGAGATTCCTTAGAATAAAACTGCACTGGGATCCATGACTCTGAAAAGCTTAAGAACCACTGATCAAGATGAACCTAAAGAGATGAAGAAAATTCTCAAATTCCTTGACAACAGGATACATCTGTGGATATCTATATTACAAAGTGATCCCCCAAAATGAATATGCACAGCTGTAATCAGATTATATGGAGGAGATAAGTGCACAAACTCTGATGCATAAGGGTTAATTCTTCATGCCTATGCTATACAAAGGGAAGAAAAATATTGGTCTGCGCAATATGAACTCTTGTAAACTGCAACTTCTGCAACATCTAATGGAAACCAAAATGCACAAGTACACAGCCAGTCACTTCCAACAGCAATTCTACCTACTTGTATATATGAATATATCCTTGCCCACTCTGAGCATTGGTGAGGTAGAAGAGGTCATTTGCATTGTTCCATGACAGCTCGTTGACCTCAAACTTGAACTGCTGCTCGTGGCGGATCTTTTGGCTACGGACATCTATGAATGACACCAGGTCCTCTTTGTTCCCAACTGCAATTGTCTGACCATCTGGAGACCATGTGATGTTGATGTTCTCACCTGAAAGATTAACTGAATTCTAAAAAAAACAATAACAATAAAAATATATAAATAAGAAAGAAATAAACAAATATATACAAATATATGTTTTCTGTTTATGGTATAATATCTGCTGAAAGCATTATAATCACACTAAAAATAGTCATTACATCAAATAACATAAGAAAGCTGTTCTGAGTTAAACAATATATGCATTCTAAGATGCATTTGTACTACTGAATATTAACAGTTCAACACTACTCATCTACATGACATACTGTGAAAGAAAGTAGTCCCTTCAAGGATATAAAAATATTTCCATCTTTTTGAAGACTCCAAACATTATATCTTAATATGTGAAGAAAATATCCTGTTATGTACAAGGAAACATTATGAATTACTTGTCATGTGAGCAACAGCTGAAACTGAAACTTGTTACATTACTCATTGAAACTCCTGATAAAAAACTATTTCATTATTATTCAGGAACTATCTCTAGTTCAAAATTAAAATGTCTATAAAAAACCTACAAAAACAAGAAAGAAAGACAGTAATGGAACTTGGCAAGAAAAAGAACAAAAAGAGAAACAGTATATAAATATCCCAAACCTTTCGTATTTATAGTGGCAGAGCATTTGTGTGTCCTTGTGTCCCATATTCTGACTGTCTTGTCCCCACTGGCCGAGGTGAGCTGCTCTGAGTGCGTGGGGTGCCAGCACAGTTGGTCCACACTGTCACCATGGCCCTTGTATGTGTAGTCTTTTCTCTGACGAAATAAAAATGTACATGTTAGTCTCCTGTGAGAAAATAATCAACAAGCATCAATATCATAAACAATCAATTCATAATAAATTACGTATAAAGGAGGAGGAATGCATCATTATTTTTTTTAAAAATACATAAAAAAAAAAAGCAGAGAAGTCTTAAAATAAAGCCAAACAGGCTTTTTTTCACAGTCATGAAAACTGCTAATCCTTAACCAAGTTCAGAGCCAGAAATTTAGGAAGGGGAGCAATTTGTAGTAGAAAATGGGTTAACCTCAAAAAAAGTTCTCTAAAATCAACCATAGGCCTACAGACCTGGCCTATTTGCCCAATGAAAAGAGGTACGTTTACTAGTGGCCTGGGTGTGCATCTAGATATTTTACAATCTGCTGCAGCAACCTAGTGAAAATGAGTCAGTGCTTGAAAATTATGTTCACTATGGCCTGTTACCTGTATGTGTGTGGGTATTTTCAAATTGCATCCACTTAGCTTTAAACTTCACCTTACTAATGTGGGCAAAGAGTTTGGGTTTGTGTCTATGTAACAAAACTTACATAATTAAAATTGGATATATCTATATTTACTGCCTATTGTGCTCTGTTTGGGCTCATTTGTTTCCTAAAGTTCTGATGATAATGATGTTCTTGTTGTTTATGAAGTGATTGTACCCCTCAAACCATTTTTTACTCCAACCAACAGGATTAGGTACTTTTGGGAATCTATAAACATTGCTATATGTACCAAAAATCTTCCTAACCTGGAAATTTAGCCTCTAGACTCATACCTGATTATCATATTTTCCTAAGTGGGGACTGCCCCCCTTGCCCTACCTGATCACTGTATTTGAAGTAGAGAAATACATTAAAAATACAGTACCTTCTCAAGAGAGTCATTGAAGTCATGGATGATCTGAATCAATTTCAAACCCAGACCTTCTCCTGTTTATGGTCTATCCCAAGCTGCAGGCTCTGACCCCATGTCCACTACTAATTGCCATATTTCCTAACTGGTTGATTCATCCATTACAATGTGCAATATTCTTTGATTTATAAATCAGGTTAAACTTAAAATGAATGGTAAAGGCATGCAGAGGCTAAGGAAAGATATTGAATCTCTGATTTCCCGAGGTATGTGCTGCTAGAGCATGGTAAATAAACTTTAAAGAATTTAGGAATATTCCTGGGATTGTAACAAATTCATCAAGAGATAATGATCAATGAAATAATCATGTGTCAGAATTCAGAACCACTAATAGAACTTTTAACTCATTGACTTCCAAATGCCACAATGGGTGCTGTAACAGCAAAACTGTTCAATTTGCCAGATGCTAGCACAAGAGCAACATATGGATGTAGCAAATATTTCTAACTAGAAAATGCCTACATGATAGTATACAGCTAATACAAAACATCTATAAAGAATTTACATACAAGACATATAAATCTTAGCATATCTTAATGAAAACTGAAAATGAGAAATACATTAAAACCACAGTGCATTCCTAAAAGAGTGACAAAGATCGGTCATATTATAACTTAGCTTCACAAAGTCAATTTTATGTATGGTTTCTGTGCTGGCAGAATCCAACCTTGTAATTACCATTATCTGTTTCAGTTATTCACAGCATGATATGCGCAATCTGCTGTTATGCATATTACATTGTATTGGTGATTGTTTGCTTAGTGAGCACATTCCTCTGAGACCAATTCCCTACTACTCCAGCCACTCCTGGTAAATCCAAAAACGTTCTTAATACCCTAACCAATCTCTGCATTTGCCTGTCCGCGGCTCTGCCCCCAGACCCCCATCCAAACATCATGCACTTGCTTTCTGTGTGGAATTTGTTGCAACCTGTTTTCTTCTATTCTCATATCATTCTTTGCCTGAACGATTATTTCATGTATCAGTAAGGGTAGTTTTTCCCTTTTGTTTATGATAGAGTCATTAGATTTTACCTTAGTCCAGTGATTATGTACAGTCATTACCAACTTTCAAAGAAAAACCCATAGATGATGTATCTTATTTTCTGTTCTGTTCATTACAGGCAAGGTACCATATGGTTCTGTGAAACTGACACAATACATGTTACCTTTAAGAGTTGATAATAAGAAAGTTGTGCAGCACATAAAAGTTTGGTTTACATTTACAGGAAACTGTAATGGCACTATAATAATCAAAGAGAAAAAGTCCACTCACTAATACATGA